TGTGCAGAATAGATTACTGGTCTTTACTTCCACTAGAGGGCACTAACAGATTGAACTTCTCAATAAAAATGTCTAATAATGACTAGTGGAGTTTATTTAGCCATCCTTCTGTAGAAGTTGTGATTTAAGTCTAATAATAATAATAGTATAGTACAGACTTGTAGTATAAAATTATGCATGTTTTCTCGACTGTGTCAAAAAGAACAGCAGGTAGAAGCAGTTTTATGTAAGGTTAATGACCACACAAATACTAGACAGTGTGATTATATTTTATGTGAAAATCAGGACATGAACTATGTACATACATCAAAGGACAAACACAATACTATGAGGCGGTAGGAGGTGAGGAGGCAGTAATGTTTAGTCGCTCCAGTTTTCCCATTAAAGATACTTCTGTGTCTTCTGTGCTTTCCGTAAGAGGCTCCAAATACTGCGTCCCAGCAACCCTCTTCCCAGTGAACGGGTCGACCACCTGCCCAACTTTATACACAATCTCTGCGAGTTCATGGTTGACATGCTTGGATCTTTTCTCCGGCAAAGCCTTCAACAAAACAACATCCCCAACAGTGCACTGCTCCAAAGGATCATGGGCAAAGTATGTCTTCCTCTTGTTGTAGTACTTTAAAAAAAAGCAGATGAAAACATCAGGATAATTCTGGCACAAACCAACTATTTTACTAATAATTCGTAATTGTTTTACTTATCATACAAATATAAATGACCCTAAGGTTTACAGCTACAAATATTTTAAGCCAATATAAGGGGGGGAAGAAAGACAATATAAGAAAAAGTCAAGATATCTTACCTTGAGCAGGTACGGATCAAGCACAAGTCTGGTAACTCGAACCTTTGCCGTCTTCTTCATCTTGGCTCCAATCACCTGACCAATAATCCATTTCGCATGGACCGATGCTTGACGCGTGGGCATACCGTTTATGTTTTGCAGTCCCCTAAAATATAGTAAATGTTCTTGTTAAACGAACTTGCTGGTTTGCAGGTCAAAGCTCAGTTAAATAATCAACTGCTAGCTAAGCCAACCGGTTTCCACAAATCTGTTTTACTCACTGAGGCCCATTTTTATAGTTGCCATAACACAACAACAGGCATTTCTGTGTGCATGTAAATAATACACTTACCGGGTTCACTGTACATGTAAACGTTAATGTAAAGGTCAAAAATTCATGAAAACATTCAGCATGCGTCTGAATGTCAAGACTCGTGGCTCATGTTGATGACGTAATGGGAAAAACGGTACCTGGCAGCTTTGAAGTGTCAAATATTTAAGCAACTTAAAAATATTTAAGTAACTGGAAAATTAGATAATATTTAATTTAAATATATAGTAAAATATTATTTATAATAGTTTTATATAGCAATATATTTGTCAATTATTATTATTATTAATAAAAGTAGGCTATTATCATATTTTACATTTAGTCATTTTGCAGACGCTTTTATCCAAAGCGACTTACAGTTGGGGAATACATAAAGCGATTCTTCTTAAAGAGGCAAACAGCCACAGGAAGTGCTTGTAATACCAAGTTTTAGGCATTGTTCAAATAAGTGCAAGCTAGAAAGGGAAGGAATAAATACATAGACAAAGCTTCTCCGTCACACGCTTGAGGTATTCGGCCAATCACAACGCACCTCGCTTTTTCAGACCGATGAGATTTGTAAAAATCGACGCGTTTCAAAAAGGAGGGGCATAGAGGAGAAACAATAATGTACAGTATGTGGAAAATAATGTGTTTTTTTTTACTTTAAACCGCATAAACACATTTCATTACACCAAATACACAAAATAATGTTCTTTTTAGCAGCATCATATGACCCCTTTAAGATGAAGTCAAGTACTGTTGAAAGAGATTATTTTTTTTCCCCAAACGCTATTTTTTTTCTAATGAATCATTTTCTGTTTGACAAGTATTGTAAGAATATATAAAAAACTTTCAAAAATATATTATTCATTTTTATTATTATAATATTTTGACAGTTTTCCCCCCTGAAAAGCAATTTTTTTTCTATAATTTTCTGTCTTTTACAGAGAATGTGTTTGTCAAGTGTTGTAAGCACATAAAAATGTACATAATAAACATGAATAAAAATGTATCACATGAAACGTAGTTGTACTTGTTTTTTAATAATTGTAAAATTAAATAATGTATAATGTAAACATTAAGATTATACAAAAATAACTATTTTATATATTTTTATATATAATAATATACATACGATAAACCATTATTATTTCTCAAATTAATTTGTTTTATCGTTATCTATACGCTTATGTATATTCTGATGCACAAAATGAGTTCAGACTTTCTCAGACAAAACCCCTTCACGCTCACACCTTCCGTCATGCTGATTTGTGTATAATAGTCACGTCACTTTTTACAAACTAAAGAATGCCTTGCACAGAGCAATGTTATAGCAGAAAAGTGCTTTGCATATAGTGGTCCAACTCCCATTTGAACTATTTGGCCTGCTGATCCAACTGGCTTTGAGTCAAGACTCAGGGAAGAGGCATTTATAAAATAAGAAAGATGTGTCTAAAATAGGGGAACAGATCATGGCATACTCTAATGTGTGTGTTCAACAGTGTAAGAAAAAGAAATCGGCCTGTCCCTGGGTGGGAACTGGATGAAAGCCAGCGCAGTCGAATCTGGTATTAATCAGAACCACACAGAAAACATGGCTTGTTTCTATGTGATTCCCATTTAAGGCAGTAATGTGCTCTTGCACATTCAGGAACATGTAACATATCAGTCAATATACTGACTGACCAGCCTGTTCCATTTCAGGCCTCATAGATTTAAACAAATGCACTAGACACAACACATTTATTTAATGTCTAGCAGACGAAAGCTTATGGTACATCTGTGAGTGGTAACAGTGCCAGCCCAGAACACGGATTTCCAAAAAGCCATGAAGCATTACAGTGTCACGTTGCCATCAACGATCTTAAAGATCTCTCCATCATCTCTGCTCCTGCTTAATGTTTTCTCTATCCGAGTTGCTGCCCTTCAGTGTAGCCTTTACTATAGTTCAGTGTTGTTCTGACAGCAATAGTGAGGCTGACTGGAGAGAAGCAGATAAGAATGCAGCAACAGGACAGGAGGAAGGGAGAGGTCAGCTTTCAGGAAACAGTCCGTACCATTAACACACATGCTAGTGTGAAAGAGGCAATGACTCATGCGGCACAGTTTATTTTCTCTGGAGATTCGAATGTGACTTATGAATATTTTCCCCCGAAGAAATTAAAAGCAAATTTAAACACACTTGAGTGATAAAAGAGATCGCTGTCACTGTATTCCTGTTTTGCGCTCTGTTTGTTTAATGTTATTGTATGAGGTTGGCGTCGGAGGGGTAACATGGAACATGGCCGAGAGAAAAAGACAGCAGTTCGTTATATTTGTGTTTACAAAGCTATAAAGACCACAGTTTTTGATAATTGGGTCAATGATGCTCATTTTTGCCCAATTGATTCTATTCTGTTAAATTCACCATGAAACCAAAACTGACAATTCAAATTTTTATCAACAATTCAACTTTACAACGATGATTTCACAACAACCTCTCTGCAAAGATTGCGGCAATTAGCAAATGACGATGATCCAACCATCCAATTAATTCTTGATAGACAAATTCAAGTCCCACCCTATATTTTTACTTGTCTGAGAAGTTCTTTAACTAGGATGCAGTAGGGGAGAAATGGCAATCACATGAATTCCATTCATGCCGACTTTAATTTTTTTTCCAAAAATACATCAAAATCATGTGGTGCAACCAACATTCAGACTTTCATGACTGTGTGTCAAGGTTAATAAATCTCTAAAATATAAGACCTTTTTTTTTTTATCAGCAAGGTTACTTCAGGTCGCAAAATGATGGCATGACCAAAGACTTTATATATACCAAGATGATTCACTCATATTACTATGAATGGGAGAAAGTGTAGGCAATATGGTGGAATGAATAATGAATCTCGTTTAATTAAAAGAGCCAGTCACCAATTGGTAAAATCATCTCGTCAATCAAAAAAAATTGCCACACTTTATTTTAAGGTTCAAATTTCACTATTAACTAACTATTAACTACGACTTTTGCCTTGATAAACTCCTAATTTGTTACTTATTAATAGTTAGTAAGGTAGTTGTTAAGTTTAGTTATGGGTAGGATTAAGGGATCTAAAATATGGTCATGCAGAATAAAACATTCATATGTGCAATATGTCAATATGCTAGTAATATGCATGTTAATAAGAAACTAATTAATAGTGACAATTGGTCCTTAAAATAAAGTGTTACCAAAAAATGAATGCTATTTGAGCATATGAAATAACATTTATGGGACTCTTCATGCCAGATTTTATTGCTGATTGGTGCAAATATGGCTGCAGAATGAACTCCCAAAAACTTACTGATATTTATGAATACATAAGTATGAAGTTTATTATTTTTTATTTTATGGTCACACCACATGACATTTTAGAGTCAATTAATTGAATCCTGGGTAACACTTTAGAATGGGGAACACTTATTCACTATTAACTATGACTTTTCCCTCAATAAATTCCTAATTTGCTGCTTATTAATAGTTAGTAAGGTAGTTGTTAAAGGGTTAGTTCACCCCAAAATTTAAATTAGGCTGTGTTTTATTCACCTCAGAGCCATGCTAGGTGTATATGACTTTCTTCTTTCAGACGAATCCAGTCGGAGTTATATTAAAAAATGTCTTTCCAGTCTCCTGTCCTTCTTCTTTACAAATCCTCGTTTTGTACTTCTAATTAGTGACCTTTGTTTTGTTTTGATCTCTCCCCTTGGCTTCCGCATTCGTCACTTCTGAGCAGTGGTGGACAGTAACGGAGTAGTTTTATTTCGTTTTTACTTAAGTACATAAAAAATCGAGTACTTTTGTACTTTCACTCGAGTAAAACTGAAAAAGGAGTACTTTTACTTTTACTGGAGTAATATTTTATTATACGTATCTGTACTTTTACTCAAGTACTTGATTTGTGTACTTCGTCCACCACTGCTTCTGAGCGGCGCATGCGCAAAGCCGACCTCCATACGTCATTCCCCTGAAACTATTTCCGTGTACAACAGTGCGCACAAGCTAAATTAAAGTGATTATTACGTTTTGAATATGGATATTTTTCTTACAAAAACGCATCGATTCGCTACAGGAGGCCTTTGTTCACCCCCCTGGAGCCGTGTGAGACACTTTTTTAATGGATGGGCGCTTTTTATTTAAGTTCTTTTGGACTGATGCATGCAACACCCGCTGAGTGGCATTAAACAGCTTGAAAGATCAAAGACAATTTTTAATATAACTCCGACTGGATTCGTCTGAAAGAAGAAAGTCATATACACCTAGGATGGCTCTGGGGTGAGTAAAACACAGCCTAATTTTCATTTTTGGGTGAACTAACCCTTTAAGTTTAGGTATTGGGTAGGATTAGGGATGTAGAATAAGGTCATGTAGAATAAGGCATTAACATGTGCTTAATTAGTACTAAGACATGGCTAATATTCTAGTAATATGCATGCTAATAAGCAACTAGTTAAGAGACCCTAAAATAAAGTGTTACTGAATCTTGTCTTGAAAATTATATAAACGTTTTTCAAAACAAATATTAATACAAAGAGCATGTGTGTTTTAAACTAGATCATCAAAAGATTTTTCATTTTCTTTATCATAGACACTGTACATGTTTGACCCAATTACATAATTGTAGTAATTGAGTCAAATTGTAATTGTAAATAATTATTACCTTTGTCTGTAGGATTAGGGATTTGAAGAGACCCTCTCTTTTGAGAGGCCTGTAAACAACCATCCAGAGCACTCTAGCAACCGCATAGCTGTGCCATGGCAGCCAGCCACAACTCATCTAGAAATTTCTTCAAAATTAATAGTGATTCATAATGCCCTAAACAAAATCCCTACCCCTAAACCTAACCCTACCCATAATTTATTCCTAAAATAAGTGTGAAATGATAGCTGATTACCAAGGGTGTAGAAGCACCTAACCCTGATTGTAAGCCTAAAACAGATATTTCCTGAAAAGTTATCCCTCAATTCTGATTGGTTGATTGGAATGTTGATCCAGGAACATGTTGTACTTGGTGAAATCACGGTCACCATGGAAATACCATCAGACTAGCAGAGGACAGTCATTTATTATTTACTACAATAATATTTTTGCCCACTTGAATCACTGCGCAGGTCACGGCTCA